GTTGGAGAGGGGAAGGGGGGTTGAAATGAGTTTGAGAATGGGGGGGGTGGGCGAGAGCGTTGAAGGGGAAGGGGGAGTTGAAATTAATTTTAAAATGGGGGGGGGGGCGAGGGAGGTTGAGTTAAGTTTAAGAATGGGGGAGGGGTGGAGAGCGTTGAAGGGGAAGGGGGGAGTTGAAATGAATTTAAGAATGGGGAGGGGAGAGCGTTGAAGGGGAAGCAGGGAAACGAGGAGAAAGATATTTGTTATGAGCTTTATACTAAAAGAATTTACATATGTTATGAATAAATGGATGGATAGACATCGAGACAGATCGATCGATACGTAGAGAGGTAGATAGATAGATAGAAACATAAATAGATAGAGAGATTGACAGATAGTTAGATGGATAAACAGATAAATAGAAAAAATAGACAGACAGACAGACAGACAGATAGTTCGATAAAAAGATAGACTGAGACAATGTACACATGTGCACGCATATACACTGATACATACATGAGTGTGTGTACCTTTCTGATGCAGGGGACCAGAAGGGGAATAAATGAATAGATGTTTTAGACTGATCTTATAATTAAGGAATTTTCTATACGTACCAACTGGATGATGGACGGGAAGGGTCAAATCAGCATGCATCTTCAATACGAATTTCGACTTAATCTGTCTTAGTTTTTTTTTGTTTGTTTTTTTTTGTCTCTTTCTTCTTTCATTTGTGAATTTTATTTTCTACTTATCTGACTTTTTTCTTTCTTGTTTTTTCTATATATTCTTACTCTCCCTAATCCTTCGCCTCTTCCCAAAACTGATTTTCCTCTTTTTCTTTTTCTCCTCCTTCTCCACCTCCTCCTCCTCCTCTTTCTCCTCCTCTTCCTCCTCCTCCTCCTCCTCCTCCTCTTCCTCCTCCTCCTCCTCGAACTCCTCCTCGAACTCCTCCTCGAACTCCTCCTCCTCTTTCTCTCCTCCTCTTCCTCTTCTTCCTCCTCCTCCTCCTCTTCCTCCTCCTCCTCCTCCTCCTCCTTTCTACTTCTCCTCCTCCTCTTCCTCCTCCTCGCCCTCCACCTCCTCCTCCTCCTCCTCGCCCTCCACCTCCTCCTCCTCTTCCTCCTCTTCCTCCTCTTCCTCCTCTTCCTCCTCCTCCTCCATGTCATCCTTATTATCGTTCCTCTCGCCAGCCTCCTTCCCTCACTTCCTTCTCATTCCTCATTCATTCTGAAGGAAAACAAATCAGAACAGATGACCCCCTCCCCCCTCCCCCCCCCCCCCCTCCCTCTCTGCATGCCCCCATTCTCTCCCCTCCCCTCCCCCCCCTCCTTGTTCCGCCCCCTCCTCCATCCTCTCTTCTCTCCCCTCTCCATCGCCCCCCACCCCGCCCCCTCCCCCCTTCTTCACCTCTCCCCTTTCTCCCTCCTCGTCCCCCCCCTCCCCCCTTCCTTGCTCCCCCTCCCCTACCTCGTCCTCATTTCTCCCTTTCCCCCCTCTTTATCTCTCCCCTTCTCTCTCCTCTCTTCTCTCCTTCCCTCTCCTCGCCCCCTTTCTCCCCCCCCCCACATGATCCTTTTTTTCCCCTTCCCCTTCCCTCTCCCTCTCTTCTACCCCATCTCCCTCCCTTTATCCCTTTTCCCTTCTTCCCTTTCCCCTCTTCTCTTTCCCCTACCCCTTCCCCTTCCCCTTCCCCTTCCCCTTCCCCCCCTTCACACAGCCGCCGTCCGACATTCAGATCAACAACTCCAAACTCTCCCCCCCCTCCCCCTCCTCCCCCTTCTCCCCCCCCCCACCATTGGAGGAGAAGACGAAGAAGAAACGAAAAAAAAAAAAAAAAAAAAAAAAAAAAAAAAAAAACAGGTTGGAGGTTCCGCTTCCGGTGCACTGACAGGTGATAGGGGGGGGAGGGGGAGGGGGGGAGGGGGGAGAGGGAGGGAAGGGGAGAGGAGAAGATGGGGTGATGGACGAAAGGGGAGAGGAGAAGGTGGGGATGAAGAGGGGAAGGGGAGAGGAAAAAGTGGGGGGGTGAGGGAGAGAGGGTGAGAGGAAAGGAGGGAGAGGAGAGGGTGGGGGAGAGGAGGAAGTAGGGGGGTGAGGGAGAGAGGGTGAGGAAGGCAAGGGGAGAAGAAAAGGTGGAGGTGAGGAAGGGAAAGGGAGAGGAGAAAGTAGGAGAGAGGGAGGATTTTAGGATTAGTGGGGGTTGCAAGAAGAAGAAGAAGAAGAAGGAGAAAACGAGGAAGAAGGAAAAGGAAGAATAGGACGAAAAAAAAAAAAAACGAATGAGATGAGGAGGAGAGAGGAGGAGGACGATGAAAAGGAGGAAGAGGAGAAAGAGATGTAAGAAGGAATAAAAAGGAGACAGCACAGAAGGGAAAAAATTAAAAAAAAAATACAAAGAAAAACAAATGGAAAAAAAAAACAAAATAAAAATAAGGAATAGAGGAGCAGAGGGAAGAAGAGTAAATGAAGGGAGAGAAGGAGACGAAGAGAATAAATGAGGAGGAAGACGGGAAAATTGATAATGATGAAAATAAGAAATAAGAAAGACAAATAAAGAATCATAACATTGCATATCTAAGAAAACAATAATAGTAATAATAATAATAATGATAATAATAATAATAATAATAATAATAATAATAATAATAATAATAATAATAATAATAATAATAATAATAATAATAATAATAATAGTAGTAGTAATAATAATTTTGATAATAATAATGATAACCACTATTATTAGTATTATCATTGTTATTGTGATTATCATTATAATAGTACTGATAATGATAATAATAACAATTATTATCATCACTGTCACTGTAATAATGAAAATGATGATAACACAATATTGACAATATTGAAAATAATACTAATAACAATGACAAGTATAAATATGATTGTAAGTTAAATATTATGATAACAAGAAGATAAAATAAAATTTATAGAACGCGATGATGATAGTAAATAAATGATAATAATAACAACAACAACAACAAAACAGAATTGGAGCAATAGAGATGAGACGGAAGAGAGGAACAGGCAAGGGAAAGAGAAGGGAAAACGAGGATAATTTGAGGGGACGAGTCAACGAGGCGAGAGGGGGGGAGGGGGGGTAAAGAGGGGGAAAGCGAGGAGGGGGGGTGGTGGTGGAAGTAGGGCGGGGGGAGAGGGTAATTGTCTTGCATTACTCTGACAAGTTCGATGAAAAACGGGCACTGTCTTTGTGTGTCGTTGTCTTTGTTTGTGCGTTTGTTTGTCTTGTGCTTTTGTGTGTTGGTGTCTTTGTTTGTTGTTGTCTTTCTTTGTTTCTTTGTTTGTTGTTGTCTTTCTTTGTTTCTTGGTTTGTGTGTGTTTGTGTCTTTGTTTGTTGTTGTCTTTCTTTATTTCTTTGCTTGTGTTTGTGTTGTGTCTTTGTTTGTTGTTGTCTTTCTTTATTTCTTTGCTTGTGTTTATGTTGTGTTTGTGTTTGAATCTATCTGCTAGTCTGTGCGTATGTGTGTTTTCGTTTTATGCGTACAATTGCGTGTGTGTGTTTGACTGTGTCTCCATGCATACTTGTTTCTGTTTGCTTGTTTGTCTGTTTGTTCACTTCTGTCTTCGCTTTTATTTAATTTTATTAATTCAATAGAGAAGTATTTCTTTCAGGGATGTAACTCCCTAATGGTGGCTGTATATATAATGACATTTATCATGATGTATACAGTTCTGTTTGTTCAATGTTGTATTTTCACTGTCATCATTATCATTATTATTAGTAGTATTTTTATCACCATCAGCAGGAGCAACATCATTATCATTTCCATTATTATCATCATTATCATTGTTGCGATTCAATATTTTTATTATCACTATTATTATTATTATTGTTATTATTATTATTATTATTATTATTATTATTATTATTATTATTATTATTGTTATCATTATTAAAACTATTATTATTATTGTTGTTGTTCTTTTTGTTGTTATTATCATTATTATTATTATTGTTATTATTATTGGATTATCATCATTGTTATTATTATTACTATTATCATTATTAGTATTATCGTTATTATTATTACTATGGATGTTATTACTATTATTATTATCATTATTATCATCGTTATTGTTATCATAATGATAATTATGATGATTATTATTAATATCATTGTTATTATTATTATTATTATTATTATTATTATTATTATTATTATTATTATTATCAGCATTATTATTTTATCATTGTTACCATTAATATTATCACTATTATTACCATTTTTTCTGTTATTGTTATCATTCAAAATGTTATCATTATCAATAGTATTCTCATTATTATTATTGTTATTGTTATTATCATTATCATTGTTATTATTATTACTATCATTATCATTATTTTTACTATTATTGCTGTTACTATTTTTATATCATAAAAATAATATAATCATTTCAGTAATTATTATTATTACTGTTATCATTATCACTATCATTATCATTTCATTTTCGCATTGTTATCATTATCATTATTAGTAGTATCATCATCATCATCACTATCGCCAAAATTACTATACAATATTACTATTATCATAATTATTTTTTTATATGGTTTTGGTAAAGGTAGTATCATTATTATTATCTTCATTGTCATCATTATTATTATTGTCATTGTTATCAATATTATTATCATTACTATTGTTATTATTATCATTATTATTATTATTATTATTATTATTGTTATTATTATTATCATTATTTCAAGTATCATTCTTATCAATATTATTATCATTATTATTAACAATATTGTTATTATTGCCATTTTCATTATTATCATTTATATCAATATTAGTATAATTATCGATATATTAAATATTATTATTTGTATTATCATGATATGATATCACTATTTTTACATACATACATATATATCTGCACATACAATATATACATATTTTTATCTATGTACCTATGTAGGCCTATATTAGTGTATTGATCTTAAGAATCCGAGCCTAATTTGTTTCCTCCCCCCCCCCCCCCAGGCTGCCAGTGACCCCCGCGAGTACCTCCTCACGTCACGGCATGTCATGTCACTTGTCATTTCAACGGCGAATGAGATGAAAATGATGGCGGTGATTGATGTTACCTTCGCCTATCTTCATTGAGGCTTCTTGATCCAC